TCTCAACGAAAGCTGTTTTCTTTCTACCAGAATATCTGATGAGGGAATTTTAACCTAAAAGTGATTCTTGGAACTGCAAAAAAATTCCCTGTAGAAACCACTTTTACTATTATGTTCTGTTTTGGATAGATTGAACAATAACTTTGCAGTTATTCATTAACCCATCCTTCTCCGAAATGTTTCTCATTAATGTGCAAACAGTGTTTGGTTTAAGAATTAAGCAGTAATCCTGAACTCCTGGATGTGACAGACTGTTTAGGAATATTTGATTATTCAGTGCTGGCTCTACGTCTGTAATAAAAAAATTGGTACTTAGTAATCTGAATTCATCCGGAAATTTGGTTAAGAATTTTATGGTTAATGACGCTGGCTAGTGAATTTGTTCCGTAAAGAATAGCACTATTGGAGCACAGTTTGGGATTGTTGATGTTTGAAAAACAAAACCCTATAGCCTCTTCTACATTGCTGCTATGCTGAAAATCTCTAAGCTCGACTTTATCATCTACTGTACTTGATTCATCACCAATAGAATCTACAAAATTGTATAATCCATATCAGTTAAAAATCTCTGTGGTATAATTAATTTGAGATTCAAAATATTTTCCCAGAGAGTAGATTGTTTTAAAGTAGCGTCTAAAATATCTTTTTTTATCTAAATGAAATTACTAAAAGAGTTTGTCTAAAATCTCAAGAAAACACCATAATTTTTTTTCCAAATTCATGATAATTTTCCAATACATCCTTTAAAAGTCTGTAAACAACATCCAAATCATTTTTTTTGTCATAGAACACTCATCCCATATGATAATGTTGCAGGCTTTAAAAAGTTCTAAACGTTGGCTCCCTAAAGACACTGTAGATATTGAAATCTCAGCTCTGGATCAGTAAACAGGAATTCCAAAAAGCGTATGCGCAGTGTAAGCATTTTTATATAGAGTAGCAGCCAACCCTGTACTTGCACATACCATAACGTTTTTGTTGTTAAATCTACGATAAGAAATCAACACTTTTAAAAGATGAGTTTTTCATCTACCAGTCGTAGCATCAAGGTAAAATCTGTGTGTAGTCTCAAAGTTTACTACTTCAACTATTCTATCAAAGGCTATTTTTTGCTCAACATTAAGATTCTCCAAATTCTCTTCAAAAAACAGTCTGTTATTCTCTCACGTGGTAAATAGATCTCTTCTCAAAATATCTAACTCTAAATTGTTTAAAATTGCCTCCGGTAGCCCAAACTGTCCAAGATTAGCTCCCATTAGTATCAATCTTTCTTGAATGCTTTTAAGTAGTGAATTTACACTTTAATGATCTGTCATTTCTGCTTCAATGTAATCTTGACAAAGATAGATGTTAAACTCCTCATAAATTTGCGTTATAGCTCCTCTATCCATAGCCAATGTTATCAAAAGTATTCTAAGCTGGTGGGGACTATATAAGCCAATATTTACAACCTCTCTAAAGCAAAGAAAATATTTATTTTCAGCACTGAGAAGACCCAAGTGTATTGCTGCCTCATTATAGGTTGAGCGCAACACTCCAGAAACTTTTTTTGCGTCAGTAAAAGATGTTGGACTTGTAGAAAGTAGTATCAAACGGAGGTAGTAGACTTTGCTCTTGTTTGGATAAAGCATGTAAATTATGGCTACTGATTCGCCAATGGTTCTCCTGTATACCATAAATATGTTGCCTCTCGCAAAAATATCCCAATATGGTGCAACTCTGGTAGTTGCTAGATTTTCTCTTACAACCATATATTCTTCATAGAAATGAGTATAAGTTAGTCTAGATAATTCAGGTGGTCTTGCTAAATAAAGCTCAAGTGGGGATACTGCTCTTTCTGAAACTTCTTGGATATCTTCTTTTTCGCCAAATATTATTGAATCTTCATTTTGTAGATGTATTGGCAGTCGTTTAACTGAAGGAGATCTTTGGTTGATATGGAAGAGGAATAATCTCCAGCATGCTTCAGAAGCAGAAAGATATCTAGCATTAATATACTGACTTATTTCATCGTATTCCTCTTCTACTAAAAACCGAGTTCTATCAGGACCTTTAAACATATATTTTAGAGGTACATAATAAGATTTACATTGCAAGCTAGTTCAACATTGATATGAAAATTCCCAAGTTTCAGCAATTGTGGGTTGTAAGGAACAACAAATCTATCTTGCTTAGTGTTGCACCTGTAAACAGGAAATCCTCTATCATCAATGTATGTGCTGGCTGAAATTGGCTTAGGAAATTTTTTTTAACAAGTAGCTCCTTCCCTTGCACAAAGAATTCCATGCGAATGGATCATAAATTTTTGAACTAAAGAAAGAAGTTCTTGTTCTTTAGGAAATCTAGCCTGTATTATAGTGTCTATTTCTTTGGATTTTTGAGGTTCTGCGTCAGTTTTTATGGCAATGAA